ACAGCCACTGGGTTGCTGTGCCATGTTTCTGACATTGAGGACAGAAAGATCTGGAAGGATCCGTAGCACATTGAGCCTAAATGATCTCTATAAAAGTGCTGAACTGTGAGGAGGCACACAGGTTATCAATGTGGTGGCCATCAAACCCTGTGGCCACAAGTGAAGCTGGGCAAGCCACTAGACGATGTCCCTGTCAAGAGTTCCCCTTGGTGGACCCAGTGAAAGTTCATATCCAAGGAACTGAGACTCTCCTCATGTCACCTCCCTCTCAGATGCCAGTCACAGCTTGCTCAAAGCTAGCCAGGTCCTGATGCAGAGAGAGACTCAAGCTCCACCTGGACCAGGCTGATCGTCAGGCATGATGGTTGTGCTTAGAAGGTGCAGTGTAGTAAGCATTTCCTCACTCTCTCTCAGTTTCTAGGAGTTTACAGCACAGCCTACCTCAGGCGTGGCTAGATGTCACTGGATTTTGGCTAGATGTCACTGGATTTAGTCACTGCATGCTACACCTGAGAAACTGAGGAGCCCTAGGCTGTTCAAGTCGGCAACTAAAACCTACACTATGAAACAGAGATCCATATGGGAAGATGCTGGTCACGACCAGACCCACAGGCTAGCTGGGAGCTACGACAACAATTCTGGGAAAACCAGAGTTGTCAAGTGAAAGCCCATCCAGAATCTGGTTGTGTCTCTCCACAAAGGAGATGTGGAGGTGACAAAGAAGGCCCTTCCACAACCTCTCCCAGGGCAGGGCCCCTGCGGGAACGCCGACTGACCACTGCTGATTGACCATGGCTGAAGCAAGCCTAGATTGGCCAAGGCAGGCTGATTTGTCATCCAAGGAAACACCTCTCTACAGTCAGACCACCAGGAATCGTCGTCTCTGAACGTCTGCAGTCCATTTCATAGCAACAGGCTCAGTGTGCAGTCTCTAGGGGAGAGGCTTCTTTCACCTGCACTGCAGTGTCAACCTGGCCTGGCTTGGTTAGCTACTGTGGATAACCACAGTCTGCTTATTCCCCGGGGCCATGATGGACACCCTACTGTGTCCATTTGTCAGCTACTACCATTCCTGAAGCTCTGGATATCTGTGTGCATACCTGTGTTCCTTTTGCAAGCTTTGTGTTCATAATTTGACTCTGTGTTAGACATTTAAGGAACTCAAGAGCTCTATTTTCTTGCATTTGTGGAATTTTTCATTTTATTTTTTCTTTATTACATACATTTATTTACTTGTTTGTTTGTTTATTTATTTTGTGTGTTCATGCAGGTGCCATGGATGGATGTGGAGGTCTGAGGACAACCTATAACACTGTTTCTCTCTTTCCACTATCTGGGTCCTAGGATCAAACTCAGGATGTGAGTCTTAGCAGCATGTGCCTTTACCTGCTCAGTCATATTCCTGGCCTTTTCTCCTAAAAGTTATTCTTTTTAATTATATTTACTTACTGATTTGCGCGCGC